TATTATTATTATTATTATTATTATTATTATTATTATTATTATTATTATTATTATTATCATTGTTATTATTACTATTTGTTATTATTACTTTAATTGTATTATTTATCATTATTAACACTAATATTATTATTAGCAATAATTATCCCTTTATGATTCTGCTGATAATAATTAATAATCCCCTTTTTTGGATATCACATTATTAAACATAATTTTCTAATGATTCTAACCAACAAAGAGCACTTGTAGTACAACTGCTATACTATCAATTGTGCATACAAATGGTATCGTACTGAGCAGTCGCTGTGCAAATTCCTTCGATATCCTGACAATAGTTGTTGCTGTACCAGCATCGAAAACCTACAACCAATAGCATATGAACAGATTTTAAACGAATTTTAAACTAATACCTTTACTAAACTGCATGCTCTTCCTCACTCAAATACATCACCGCCTGGTAGGAAATGATAAAAAATTATACTTTCACTTGAAAGATTTAAATATTTCGCATTATTTTGCAAATAATTAACATAATATTATCCGTCAAAGAGAAAATTAGCATGAAGTATGCTATCTGTATAAAAAAGTTTTCGATAAATGACTTCTGAAATTGTATTTTTTTGACAAAGATATCGCTAACTATACCTTAACATTTAGTGAAAGTTTCGCTGCTGCCATCCCATAATCACCAAAGAGAATTCCGATCTGTTTACAAAGTGCTACATAAATCGCTGATTCCGTTACAACACCATCATTTCCATCAAACAATACATCCATCAAAACATATCTTAAAGAATTTTAATCTTTCCCCATATATCTTAAAAGAATTCTAATCTTTCTCCGCAACGAATTTTGTAGCTAATCAAAATAACTATCCTGCCTCATTTATCTTCATATTAAAAGTTGTAAAATTTAATGGATTTTGAGCTCAAGTGGAGAATAAAGAAACAGATATTGGAAACCCAGAATCATACTGTAATATGATTCCGGAAATTGCAAGATAATTTCGGTTTGTGCCACCGATAAGACTAAAGGGAGTTATAATAGATGCAACATCAGGACTCCAAATTATCTTGTATCGGATCATTTATCTGGATTTTCTTAGCAAGCACCACTAGTGGAAATCACTTAGAGCAAAAAAGAGTTGAAGAAACCACAAGAAAATACCTGTTTTTAAGTTTCACCATTTCCAAAGCCAATTTATTTAAACGTACTGTTCTTAAAGTGAATTAAACTGTATTAAAATAGCATAAATAATGGCGAATTCCTGAAATGACGAAGTTCATTCACAATAAATCTCGATCCTCTCCCATACTTTAGGCAAGGTAAACCAATGAAATCATTTATTTGAAGTGGCAATAGTTGACGAAACCATATCCCGGATATGTCATAGTGGTAAAAGTTTAAACTTGAAAAATAATGAAAATATTGTCACTCGCACGAAAAAAATATCTGATTTAACGAATCGGATTTCATCGGTCTATAAATGAATATCATAAAAAAAAGAATATTGGATAAATACAAATACGTCAAGCGTAAGAGGCAGTAAGCAGAAAACCAAGAGAAAGGAAATCCGATTTATTCAACGAATTGAAGTTCATAGATAACAGTTTTTATAAAACCAACACTATTTTATAACTGATATTTCAATAATACAAGTAATCAAATATGTCAGATAACTTCATTCCTTATCTATAAACTCCTTGAAAGCAATTTAGTGTTTGTCTAAATTCAAAGTCAGAAGAATTCTGAAAAACTGTCCAGTGCGAAAACACACCACAGAGAAAGGAAACACACTAGCAAACTCCTACAATAAGCGACTATCAACAATTCAATTCCAGAGAAAATACCAAACTGACGTATGAGATAATATTAGCTTGGGCAGTGCTTGTACCATCTCGGGAATGCCACTGTGTCTTTAATGTTTAGGATACCGAACAAAGCTTGCATGAAACGTTCTAGACCAATGCCGAATCCCGCACTGGGTGGATGCCCGTGTCGCCTCATTTCCAAATACCAATCCAATGAATCATCGCATCCACGGCGACGGAGTTCTTCTGAATCTGATTCCCTCAGAGAACCACCAGCTAATTCACCAACAAACGACGCCAATAAGTCGAAACATTCCGCCTACAATAAATAATTTACCAATTTTAATAAATTTATATTTTTCTTTTCTCTTTCATTTTTTGCGAGTTGGATCTTAATGTATTGTAAGAATTGTTAATGAATAACTGGCGCCTTAATAAATTAGGATGATAATGTCATCAACTACAAATTAACATCGGTCTTATAATCTTACCTTTTCATCTTGGGTAAAGAAGTTTACCTTCTTGTTGACATACCAAAAGAAATGCTTATGGCTTCTATTTAGCTAAATTAAAAAAATCTTACATAATTGCCACAACGTTTCATGTAGAACGGCTTCTGTATATGCGGATAGCGGAGGATAAACAATGGGCCAGCACAGTATCGCACCATGGTTAATTCGTTTTCCTTGCTAAATCGACCTCCAGGTATCATTTCACCCTTATTTTGCAGTATTGTAACCGCTTCATCATAATGCATACGGGGAAATGGCTTTCGAGAACTATTAATCCACAAAAGTGACTGCAGTTTTGCACTCTGAAAGAAAAGCTTTACTGATCTAGTTGTTATATTCGTATTCCAATGCCTTAATAATCGAATCTATCCAAGTATAATTTTTTAAAAATAAGAAACTACTTTACCTCATCGCAAAAGACTTGCATCATTGAATTGATTTCCTCAGCATCACAACTAAGCATTTCATCAATCACATAGTTGATATAACGCTCTACTAAATCGCATAACTGCTCTAAATCGTCCGCAAACGCATATTCTGCCTCCAACATTCGAAATTCTGCCAAATGTTGTCGAGTCTGCGAATGGTCAGCACGTAATGCAGGTGCTATTGTGTATACTTTCGGTAGGCTACTATAGAAAATTACAACAGATATCAATATTATGCTGCATGAAAAAGCATTTTTTGGGACCAAGGAAACTTTCTCTCTAATGAAAGCAATACACACAAAACTATTCTAAATTGAAGGATGCGGTTTAAAAACATGCAACTCACTATACCCAATAAATGATTCCAAATGCAGCTGACTTGAAACTGGTAAATAAATTGCTTGGTCACCAAAATAACTTCGCTTATCCGCCTAAAAAAGAGAAAAAATCTGCAATTACTTGAATTTACGACATCTTTGATCTCCGATCCTCAACGGCTAGTACTGGATTTGCATCCCCAGAATGGATTTATGAATACGAGGGCATTGATGCATGAATTCAGGAACAAAACATTTCAAGAAATTGGTAAAGGTTAATTTAACATACCATGGAAGAAAAATTAACTCACTGTAGAGATTATTCAAGAAAATTCTCGTCCGTTCTATCAATGCTGCTTAAAAACAACAAGCTTTTTTTACTTCTTTTGAAGTTTGATAAAATAACTGATAAAGAGAGTGAATTAGTTAGTAGTACCTGAACCGTAAACACATCACCAGCACCTTCACAATCATTATGCGTTAAGAGCGGTGTATCCACATGGATGAATGACTCTTTCTAAAACAGTATGTTTCTAAATTTACCTAATTTGGGAAACATTTGATAAGAAACAATGCAGACTGGATATTTCCTTATCTTGACCTTATTTTAAATTCCTTATATTGAATTCCAATGTGATAATGCTGAAGCGACAGTTAAGATATTCCGCATTCATGTATTAAAAAGGGAAAAATGAACGGAATAAGTAGAATTTTGGATGAACGACACTTCAGCATATATTTTTACATTTCGGGCATTACCAGCAAAAAGCATACCTTTATTTTTACAATCATTAAAGGTTCGATAACAATGGAATGAAAAAGAAAAATACCTGGAAAAAAGAACGACTGAACTGGTCCAATCGAGATCGTAACCGTAGCAGGCACATGAATGGTATGGACTTTATGCGTAAGTGGTATTTCTTACGTGTAACATTGGCACAACTTTCTTCAGTGGGTAGTTCGCTAAACTAAACTTTGCAGAATACGCGGTTAACATCATAAAAATCATTTGTGGCAACTAAACAAGCTTTGGTGAACGAAAGTTGGATCATTGGATTAGTAGGAACTGTTATTTAAAAATGAATACTTCAAAATGAGTTACCGGTAATTCGACAGATTATTAGTTAAGCGATGATGATGATAAATAGTGTGACTAATCATTCTGCTCAATTCACCTGTTGGTTTTCTCTTATGCATAGTCCGAAATGCATGGAACTGCTTTATTCCATGAAACGTCTACTATTTGAACTTTTAACTTAATCCTGAATTTAGGTAATGAAGTGAAAAAAAAAGAAAACTTACCGTTCCTTGCTGCAACCCGACAACTTCACAATTTGTAGCAAACAATTCCATGCTTTGCTGTTTACCTTGACTCATTATCCAATCACCAACGACATCCACAGCACTACCTACCGGTACTTTAGGACAAATGTCACGTTGTACTACAGCTTGCACCGTTTTCAACGAATATCCATCACTGATATGCAAAAACAAAAATTTTCCACGTGTTTCTACTCGACGTGCCCATCCCTGAAAACCTAGGCTCTTTCAAAAGAGCAAAAGAATACAAAGAATAAGACATAAGATGACTTACATTAGAAATAATGAGCAAGAAGGTTAGTTTATGAAATATAACAGTTAAAAATGTAAGCAATAAAATTTAAGCCTGATTTAAGCCAATTAGATCTCCTTCAAAACAATTAAGCCTTCATATGGATGAACATGAATTCTTCCGTTTAATCCTTACCGGTTGATAATGCAAGTCTCCTACAAGACACACTTTCATGCTTCTGTCTTGTATCCACCTTAATTATACGCTATGTAAGTGTGATCTTGATCTTCCTCAAAGACAAAAAAAAAATGTGCAACTACAAACCTGTATTCGTATATCTCTTAATTTCTGATTTTTCTGCAGTAACCATGAAACAGGACGCGATTCAAGCAATTTGATAGCAGCTTTTACGGACATTCTTTACACGATTAATGTACGTTGCAAATACTTTATACAATATATACCATATGCATCCTTGCATCCATTCTGTAACAACTTATAGTAACTATTATAATTAATAAATATTTCAAAAATGCAGTAATAAAAACTTTTTTTTCGGTCTGGTCAGCTTTTATAGTTGCTAATTGAATGGCAGCTGTTTGAATTTAGGAAGCAAAGGTTAATAAAGATTAGCTGTAAATGATGAAAGCTGTCTGGACGATATTATAGAGATTGATAAGAACAAAAATGAATGAGAATTTGTTAAAATAAACAAATGCAAATTTTATTTATGTTTTCCCAATTCTAAACAAACTCTTCTTATTCTTTATATACAGCAACATTAACAATATCAATCCCTGTTTATGTTATTTCACACAACATCTATTATTTATCAAAAATTCTATCAACTCATGCTCTCTCATCAAACATGCTCATAGCAATCTCTTCTTCAAATACAATCTCCAAATCTATTTCACCAAACTCTGAATATCTCTATATCATCGTGATATTCCTTCATCCCCATTTTCCCAAAGCTTTCTCCCCCGACCACAGCGGTATTTCCCGGATTCACTCGTTACAACTACGTGGAGTAAATCTGATATGTTGCATCGGCGTCTGTGCAACAACTAAATGTTTTCAGGGGTTAAATGGGAGTGGTTTCTTTCTGGCAGTGGGGATTCTGGTAGTGAATTTGAGCATGACTGCAGTTTCTGGTAGTGAATTTCAGGATGACTGACGTTCCTGACACTCGGTTTGTGATGATTCGAGGATAATTCCGGTTTTTGTAATTGATCTGTTTGGCAGACAGATGACACTTGAATTGTTGCTGATTTGAATCAGATCAATCAGCTCTACATGCGAATAAATGGAAACATTGGAGCGTGTTGGATATTCATTGATCAGTAAGTTCAATTTTCATCTCTCTGTAGCTAAATTTGATTATAATTCACGAGAATTAAGTCTATAGCTAATCGGAATTTAAAGTTTTCAAGCGCTGAGTCACTAGAATTGTTCAATCATTAGTTGTACATATTTAATTTAATAATTAGCTAATTGCCGCGAAGTTCATCCGGACTTCGACATGGTTCTAATAGTTATTTTACAACTACCAGACAAGTATCAAACTGTTGAACTGAATAACTCTGGTATTGGGGTTTGTTTCACACCACATAACTTGTTTGAGGGGTGGGAATAAGTTCTTTGTGCACATAAATTTAGTTGGAACATAATGAAGCAAGATTGTTAACATTAGTTCAAAACGGTTTAAAAATACAGTAAAAATTATTTGAGAAAATTCGAACTGCTTCTTGGACAAAGTACCCCACAACAATTTTAATACTAAATATTAGCCTGTTTAATTTCAAAAGGACAACTGTTTTTATGTGACATTGTGAGAGTTCTTTCAAAACCATTATATGGATTTTGGCCGATTAAAATTTTCTTGGTTTCTATTTCGATATCGCAGTTAAAAGTCAGCATTAAATGATATAAGAATAGTGGTACGATCATACATTGTAAACCGAGCGTGAACTTGATGGAAACTAATTAATCCGTTTGGAGACTTTCATCTTTCGGGAAAAAATACAATGGAATTAAGAGGTTTTCGAAGCGCCCTTTTTGAAACTTAATGCTTTTTCTACGATTTTCTAAAAGTTATAAAGTTCTCCGTGCAAATAATTTATTTTATGCAAATTTCACCTCATCTATTCAGTACTATTTTCAGTAAATGTTGCTGGTTCTAACAAGTCGGATACGCATGGTAAAATGTTCGTGAATATTGAATTTCGAACAAGAAATCAGAATGGAGAAATAAAATTACGAAATGTTCGGATTTCTGCCCCCGAATTTGTCAGTTTCTTGCAACAGTTACATAAAGTGCAAAGAGAAAGTGTCCAATGACGAATTCTGATTATCGTTTTATTTTGATCCATATTTTCGTTTTTATGCAAAATTAATTTGTTCTGATATGTGTGCATTGAAAAACATTTAAGACCGTTTTTGGAAGTCAATGCTTTTCGTACGATTTTTGTACTAATAGCTTTGAACATGCAATTTTTGGTATTCATAATTGCTAGTAATTCTATTAATGCTTTCGCTTTCATCTTCTATTTGTACCACATAGTTTAATACCGAAATTATAATCACCGCATTTCATACGGCATAATTTGAATAATTACAAAATGTTTTGAAGATTCAAAAAGATCCAACTGTTAGAAGTTTGTTTTTTCAATAGCATATGTTTATTTTCTTTGAGGTAGAATCTCTTTCGAATATAAAACATCATTCAAATATTATTGGAATTAATCGTTATGATTTTTGTTTTCTAGAAAGAGGAAGATTTTGATCCACTTCAATCTTACAAAAGTATCTTTGCCAAATTATCCCATACAATTGTTGTTAAAAAAAACTCATATGTAATATACAAGCGTGTTTTTGAAACCTAATAATTCTGTGCGATATGTTCAGTAATGATGTAATATAGTGTTTGTATTATGAAAAGTATGACACATTAAATACTTTATGTCAACTGATCAAACATTATCATTACTGTCATATTAAAACTGTAAGAATTATTATCATACAATGATATATAACGGTAATGAAATGAATGTAAAAAGCATCATATAAAAAGAAAGAGAAAAACGGCAAAAACAAAAACACTAAGAGATAATCTAATTGTAATTCAAAGATAAAGAAGAAAAATTATCAACTTCATCATCAGCATTATTGAGAGTATTGCATTTTAAAAATCTAATACCAATAATATTAATAATAATAACAGCAGCAATGATAATGATATTAATTAGCAGTGTATTGGTGGTAGTTGTTATTGTTTGCTATTTGCAATAATAATTCACGGGAAAAATTCAGGAGAAAAATAGGAAGGGATAACAGCAATCACCACGATATTCAAAATGAGAAAATTTTGCTTCTTTAGGATTTCTTCTGAAAAGGAGGGAATGAAAAATTAGAGTTAAATTATGATCGAATTAGGAAGCAAATTAAGTATTCCATTTCAAATGTTTTATGAGTATTTCATTTCTTTTGGCTAATAGTTTGTAAATTTTTATTATTAGTGCAAGAAAATATCTAAGTAATGAAGAAGGAAGTATAGTCATACCTTGGAAGTACTTTCTTTTTTACCGGTCTGTGATGTTTTCCTGATACCAGTAGTGAATTTAGAGCTGGCTTCATTTGGTTTCTTTGAAACTGTCTTCTGAGTACTAGTTGCTGCTGCTCCACTTTTCGATTTCATTGATGTTTGTGTGATAAGCTTACCTGTTGATGAGATTTGACTACTTTGACGACCAGGTAATGACTAAAATAGTTACAAAAGTACACATCTGCTGTTGCAAACATTAGATAAAGGAATAAAATTAATTAATATGATTGAATTTCTACTTGCCTAAGTTACATCAATTCAATCCTATCTTTAACCTTATAATTTTAGAATAAAAAAATGGTCAATTAAGAATAATTTATTTCCACATTATAACATCTGATATTGCTTAATGCTTAATGAAATAAGTTCATTTTAGTTAATTATTGGAAATGATAGAGCAATCGATATTTCTATCTTTTATTATTGAATGATAAATGTATAAATTATCAGCTAACCTTTTTAGCATTTTCTTGAAAAACAACACCTTTCGGTTTTAGTTGCTGCTCTGAAATAGGAATTGTAATTGGAGGCACTACTTGCGAGGCTTGTTGTTGTTGTTGTTGTTGTTGTTGAGGGGGCATTTGTGTTGGTAGCAATAAATTTGGTGTTGAAGTATGGAGGAAATTTGATGGTACTAAGCCACGTATACCATTTAATTCACCCATAAAGAAACCATCTTCATCCATTTCACCATATACCGTGATAACATCACCAGCATGAAATGATAATTCAACCTAAAATTTATAATTTCTTATCACATAATTTTTATACATTTTTTAAAAACAAAAAGAAAATTAATTTCATTTCTTAATTCTAATTAATTCTGATAATCATTGGCATCGTTTTGTCAAACAATTGCATGGAATAATTCAAATAACTTATTATAGCTAACCTGTTCCGCATCAACATTTGGACTTAATTCTCGTGAATCATAATCAAATTTAGCTACAAATTTTCGCACAGTCATACCACCATTCATTCTACCATGCCTAAAATTTTTGTTTATAATTTTAACAGAATTGAGGAAAAAAATTCCAAGTTCAATTTATGATATGAAAAAATTAATTGATATTTTTTTTTACAAACTTATATAGTTTTTAAATTTTTGATGAATTTTTACGAATTTTAATGGTGTATATGAATATCCCAAGCAGTAAGTATATCCTAAGTAGGTAAGTTATGATAGAAGGATAATGATCATTGATAGTAGTTATATGAGATGATGTCTCGTACATTCTAAACAAGCCTAGAACAAATAATATAATATTTTAGATGAGCTTAGGATAGTTACTACGTAAGATGAAGTTGTATATTCTAGACAAATTTCAACAACAATAATTTCTTTTTCCTACTTACTAATACAATGATATTGTTATGGATGATGTTACCTTGAATCCTCAACAGCTGCAATAGTATCAGATGGATAATACGATTGAGCAGCACCTGATGAAATCGCATATTCACGCATGAGTCCATGACCTTTTTCATGCCTACCATAATCAGTCCGCCTCTCATAATTTCTTCCATCCCTAGCACCTTGATCTGATTCTCGTTCCTTCCTCATTTCACGATAATCCGCTACCTCACGCTGTTCCCTATATTCACGTGAATCTCTGCAATTAATTAACCCTGATATCAGGGATTTATTAGGAAGATCAATTATTATGTTTATTTATGCATAATAAAAGGATTATATTCATTTTAATTTGAATAAAAGCTAACTATCCAGCCTATTTCATTTTTTTCAATATCTCACTTGACCCTTATCACTCTAATCTTTTCATCCACACATTATTTGTCTTTTTCCATTCTTAGATTACCTGTAATCACGCATCTTTTGATCATCATGCTCCTCCAGGTAATCCCGATCTCGCCTTGCCATACTTGGTTCGCGCTGATATTTTGAATCCCGAAGGTCACGGTAATCCCGCGTTCCCCGACTTTCACGTATTTCACGATAACCACGCATATCTCGTTCTCGAGGATCTCGAGGCCCTTCAGTTTCATAGAACTCAGGCCTTTCACGTTCCGATAAATCCCTTTCATCCATGTAATATTCTCTACGATCCCGTTCAGCTGTTGTTTCACGTGACCTGCAACTATACGATTTATACTCGTATTATAATTTCTGTTCAAGGTTTGATCAAAACTAGAAGCGAAAATGAAAATGAAATTCATTTAACCTACAAACCTATGATCACGTGTGTAACCGTAATAATCACGTGCGTGCCTTCCGTTTGGTGGATACATGTCGTATTCATCATCGACAGTACTAGTTCCACCTCTACTACTATATTCGCTTCGAAATCGATAATCTCCAACAGGTATACGCCTCAATGATGTTCCAAAATAATCGCATGACCTATTGGGTAATGAATAATCACGTCGATCAATGGATGGATATTGATCACCTTCCACTGTTATCACCCTGAAATTTCATAATGCACTCTTAATCAATCTATTATGACTTAATTTTTAACTTCGTTCCATACACATATATTTATTTATAATTGTAAGTTACATTTTCATTATTCAGTAACTTTTCGTTACCTGCTTCGTGATGGCCGACGATCACCAGCATGATCATAACTTCTTGACTTCAATGAACCCCAACGCATCCGTCGTAATGATGGTTCCAATGGTGTAACAGCATCTGAACGACGTCGTTGAGGTGGCATTAGATCGTCTTTTGCAATTTCAATAACCATATTTGATGGGACAAGTCCGATACGATGACCAATTTGTCCAGTGTAAAAACCATCTTGATCAACATCACCAAAAACCTAAAATTAGAATTATCACTTGTTTAATTAGTTTGAAAAAAACCCACAAACAATATGACTAAAATAAATAGAAAAAGAGATAAGAACATGAGAGAGAGAAAGAGGAAGAGAGAGAGAAAAATAACCTTAATTAATTGATGCTTTCGAAATGAAAGTTCTTCCTGTTGCGCATTTGCATTTGGACTCATATGATGTGAATAATCAAACAGCGCCACAAACCATCTGTTATCAATATTTCATATAAATTTGATGAAAATTTTTAACAACTATATATTGATGAAAATTAACAACTATATATTGATAAAAAAATATAATCTGATGAAAATTTTTCACAACTATTTTTAACAATTAAACTTTTTAACAACTATGATAGTAGCAAAAAAAAGTAATTATCAATAAGAAATTATCAAATATTAATATTTAAATTTTAATTTATGAAGTTTCAATAATTTCTCCTTTCAAAATATTTTAGGATAATATTCCCTTTCAAATAAGTTAGTTCAGCAAATAATTATAATTATACAATAATCATTTGTATAAATGATTTCAAATATTTTAATTTTCCTTCACTTTTCTTTTTTGACAAAAATAAAAAAAAAAAATGAATGATAATTAATGATAACCTCTCTTCCTACCTGCAGGAGAAATCAAGTGCCATAGGTCGAAGATCCGGTTCACTTCTTGTACTACACAATTCTTCCGTACGCATACGTGCAATCGGATGTGGTAGAAAATTTCCAGTACGAGTGGAAAAATTTGTTAATGACCGTCCTGTACGATCATCTGTACGACTTCGTAAATAATGTTCAAATCTGTAAATTTAAAAAAAAAATTTTTTTTTTTTTTGAAAATTTTATTACATTAATTAAACTTCAAAATTATTAATTAATTATAGTGGAGAAAATTATCATTTTAATTAAGATTCTTAATTTACTTTATTCATTTTCTTTTTAGCGGTAAACAAAATTTGACAGTTTATTTAATTTCAAAGAGTAAACAAAAGATTTAGAGTTATAAAAAAGAAAAGAATGCTAATGTTAAAATAGCTATTTGAAATATAAAATATAAAAAAAAAATACTTCACTGAGTTTAAGGCATACATTCTGTTATATTTCGATGAAAACAGGCCTGAATAGGCATGATAAATGTAGCTCACATAGAAGCAATATATTTGAACTAAGCCTTATTTCTATTATCTTTTATTTATTTTTTCTTTGCAAGAAATTTTTTTAAAGCAAATATATCTCTCCCTCTCTCTCTCTCTCTCTCTCTCTTTTTAAAATATATAAATATTTTTTTTGTGATTGTTTCAAATATCAATAATTCCTTCTTTCTTTCTCTCTCTCTCTCTCTCTCTCTTCAAATATTTATTTGTGCTATATTTGTACAATGTTTAAGAGTGAAATATTTTTCAATACATACTAGACTAGAGGCAACTAAGTTTTGTGTTATAAAAAGGAAGAAATTTTGTTTAAGGCAAGTTAGCTAAGGCAAATGTTTCCGTTCAAAGGCCTTCGGCTCATATACATATATACATGCTATATCTTTTGCCTTAGGCTATAGCATGCAATTTCATACCTCCTAAATAACATTCCATCCATTTCAACAATCTCATCCTTCTTTAGTAATAATAGCATTATTGTTACTTACTTATTATTAATTAATTAATCTATTATTATTACATTAGTAGTAGCTTACGTGAAATTTGTTGTATTTCAAATTTTAAATTTATATCTGTTTTTTTCTAAAAAAAAATAAACAACAACAATTTTACCTTGCTCTAGAATTTTGTGATGCTAATGTCCACGGTGGAACACGATGTTTTAGAAGATAATTATGTTCCATTTCAAGAACACTCGGTTTCTCTTCGGTATTTGTTAAATCATGCCGTAATGTATGTGGATGAAATATATAATATTGATTAGGCGTTTTCCATTGCTAAATATATTTTTAATAATAATAATAATAATAATAACAATGAATTTTTAAATATTGAAAAAGAAATTTAAAATAATTTGAAAATAATGATTACAATTATAAATTATAACTATTATAAAATAATTATCAACATTGCATCATTGTTTTTTATTTCTTATGATTAGAATTACAATTTGTTGTAATTGTTATGATTTTAATTAGTATTGTAATTTTAGATTACAGTTACAATTTGTTGTAATTGTTGTAATTTAAGATTAAAATTACAATTTGTTTGTTCGTTTGTTTTTGTTTTCGTTTGTTTGTTTTTGTTTTTGTTTATTTGTTTTTGTTTTTGTTTTTATTCATTTGTTTTTTGTTTTTGTTTGTTTGTTTTTGTTTTTGCTTGTTTTTGTTTGTTTTTATTTTTATTTATTTGTTTTTGTTTCTGTTTATTTATTTTTGTTTTGAATATGATATAAGGATACCTATAAATTTGAGATATTCTATCATTCATTCAATAATTATAATAATAATTTAATTCTTTTTCTAATTTCAATTAAAAAATCATATAATTATGATTTTTTTTTGTCTCCTTAAATTTAATTCAGTCTTATCAATAATAATGAAATATTTAATGAAATTATTAATGAATAATTAAAATACAAATATGATCGGCCTAAAAAAAAAACAAAGAAAAATTATTCTATCAAAAAAAAAACAAAAATATAAAATATATGCATAAAATTTAAAAAAGAATATCATTTGAACGAGGTCTGACAGAATTTAAATTTAAATTAAACAAACAAATTTAAATTAAACTATTCGAATACAATAATTCAACGATTTATTAATCATTAGGATTTTATTAAGGCTTTCAATAAACGATATTCATTAGACTATCAGATCATTAAGCTTTCATTAGTTTATAAAGTCATGAATATATTTTAAAATAAATCATTGAGAAGGCAAAAATTAATATTGTAAAATGTCAAATGTATAAAACTATCTGTCATTTATTGAAATTAAAAATTTGCCTAAAACTCATAATTTACTGGGAGTAATATATCATAATTTACTTATAGCAATATATCATTATTTACTTAGAGTAATATATCATTATTTACTTATAATAATAGATCGTAATTAACTACTTATAATAATATATCATTATAAAAAAAAGATAAATGAATAAAATTGATAAAAAGTTTTGATCTGTTCCGGAGATGAGATATATTCGTAAAACGGATTGCTAACCAAATAATTTTTATTGATCCATCTATCTTAATAAATTATGCAAAATAAAATTGATCAATGAAATCAGTTGAAATGATCAATTTCACTATGAAATACGATGAAGAAAACCAATCAGCGATAATATAATTTTTCAAGAAAAGAAAAATTACTAATAATTCAATTGAAATCTTACGGTATTTTATTAGTGTGGTGAAAAAAGGTGACGTTAAATTTATGACGTAAAATGAATTAAAATTTATTTAATTATAGGTATTTAAAAAGCAAACAGAAAAAGTACCTATCAAATTGAAATAAAAACTTAAAACTTTTTTATTAAAATTTTGAAATAAAATAAACCTCATGTAAAGTGCCTGGTGTTTGATAATTTTTCAATAATCCATCATAATTTATTCCAGTTGTACCAGAATATCCTAATTTACCATTACCTGATACATTGAGCAATGAACTATTGGTAGCTGATGCACCTGTGGTAGTGTAAGAGTTTAATGGATTTGCCGTTGGTGCTATTCCTAAACCAGATAATTGTCCACCAACGGTCATTAATAAACCACTACTACCACTACAACCTCCACCATCATTACTACCACTACCACCACCACCACCACCACCACTATTTCGTACCAATTGATGATGTTCACCGATATGCATTTGATCATAACCTGAATACCTTGCTAACATATTGCTACCTGAAAATTTATTTAATATATTTATGAAATAATAATGATAAATGAATTAAAAAATCACGGCAAATATTAATTATTAGATATTAGAAGGAAATAATTTCAACAAAAGTATTAAAAGTATTAGGTGTAATAATCAAAAGTCATTGACTATTTTGCTGTTGAGAGAAAGGCAACTAAAGAGTTCAGTCATTTTGTTTCTTCAACAACCCGTCATCAAATAAGCCTAAGGGATTTTCCTTCTTCAGCAACCACTAGTCATCAAATAAGCCTAAGGCATTTTGCTTCTTCAACAACCGATCAGTCGTCAAATAAGCCTAAGGCATTGGAAAGCTTAAATAACAGAAATGGCATTAAGCAAAATGACAGAAAGACAAGCCCTTTCTCTCTTTCATCACCACTTCTTCCTCCCACTCTTCCACCTCCTCCTCCCACACTTCCACCTCCTCCTCCTCCTCCTACTCCTCCTCCTTTTTCCTCTTCCTATTTCTGTTAAGGCGAATTGTTTTAACTTGAACAAGCTGTCAAATAAATGTGAAACATTCGAAAAGCTTCAAATTTAAAAGAAGGCAGAAAAAATTTGAAGAAAGTAAAAAAGAAATAAATTGAAAGAAATAAAAGAAATAAAAAGAGTGATAAAAAATGGATAGGTAACACTGACCAGGTGTAATATGATGACCACTACCATACGATGTTGCAATAGATGGATGTGAGATTATCATTGAATTATTCATTAAATTATTAACAGAAGCATTAGCGTTTCCCTGAGATGTTTGTAGAAGATTTGTAGTTGGTGTTGTTGTTGTTGTTACTCCTCCCGAAACATTCATTGGTAGAAGTGATGATATCTTAAAATATTATATGCAAATTTTTATTTTGCTTATTATTGAAATGTTTAAAATAAACTATTTACAAAACTAATTATTTACAGTTTTTTGTTCCATTTTAAAGAGATAGATAGAGAGAGAGAGAGAGAAAGGAATTAAGGAAAAAAAGGTATTACTTGTTAATATTGTATAGTTTTTTAGTGGTATTAATAAGAAAAGTGATAATGGTAATATTTTTTTAATGATAACATTTTAAAATGATAATATGATAATATTAAAATGATAATATTAATTCATAATTTAAAATTAAATTGACACATTTTCGTAAGTTAGATTAAATGATAACCATTATCATTCAATGATATTCGTTATGATGGTGAGAAAGAGTTGTGGCGATAGTTATGGCTATATGATAGTGATAAAGAGCTATAGCGATAGTGATAGTAAAGGTTATGGTAGTATGGTGATGGTAAAAGTTATGGCGGTATGGTGGTGATAAGAGTTATGGCGATATGGTGGTGATAAGAGTTATGGCGATATAGTGGTAAGAGTTACGGCGATATGGCGGATTGTAAGATTTATGGCAGTGATGGTGTGTATTTCGATGAATTTCAAATACTGCGCTAAAAGCTTATGACAATATAATATTGATTTTAATAATTTTAAGAAAAACTTCTCCATTTTTTTATGACATATATATGTGTGTATGCATAGATTCCATGTACTTTATTGGAAATGAAGAGAGAGAGAGAGAGAGAGAAAGAGAGAGAGAAAATTAATGATCAGTCATTAATTATGCATAGTTTCGAAAAATCTTAAAAAATTTCTCCATTTTTGAAGATTGGTTATTACTTTTCTTTTCTTTACAATTTCAAGTATAAATTGCTAATAAATAAAATATAAAATTTAAAACTTTTAAATGTAAAATTTAAAATAAATAAAATTTAAAATAATAAATGCAAAAAAATTATTTTTATGAAAAGAATATATATATCGGATACCATTTCATAATAGTATCACATTTTCATTATGATCAAATTAAAAATTTGAAATATTGTTTAAAAATAAAATGAATCCCCAAATAAATATAATACCATTGATGATCGTCCACCGGTAACCGGTATTGGTTGTAATAGATTTAATGGATTTGACTGCATGCCAAGTGTTGTAGTATGATTTGTAAGTTCGGTGTTATTGGTGATACCGCGTGGTATACGGCAAACATTTGAATCAGATGATACGGCGCCTTCTTTTGTCCTTGTTCGAACAGTGATAAAAATTGGTGGATCGTCCGCAAAATCGGATAATCGTAGAAGCACATGATCTGCTAAAATATTTTTGGAAAATGATCGAATATTGGTAATTTCGATAATTTAAATAACTCAATAATTTTTATTTTTTTAATTAAGAATTTGTGAACTTTAATTAACAATAAATAAATGATTTTAAGAAAAATGCAAAAAATAAAATAAAAAAATTAATTAAATTTTCAATGTTATTTATTTAAAGCGATAATACGAAAATAAAATGTTTTTTAAATTTTAAATCAAAAATAGTTTTTATTAAATTTTTAATCGAAAATGAATTTCATTTAATTTTTAATCGAAAATGTTTTTTTTTAATTTTAAATCGAAAATGGATTTCTTTTAATTTTTAATTGAAAATAGACTTCTTTTAATTTTTAATCGGAAATGGTTTTTGCTAAATTTTTAATCAAAAACAAAATGAATAAATTTCATTTAGAATAGCAATAAATAAGTTAAATAAGGGAACTAAATATGAAGCAAAATTTACTAAATTATATTAAAAAAATTTTCTTTTGAAATTTCAATTTCAAATTATTATGATTATTACGATATTACGAATTAATTTTTAATCAAAATTACATAATTTCGATCATATATCATCATTCATTACTAATTACTTCTTTTTATTAGTAATTTTCTAACACCTGGTGAATGAAAATTTGTATATTATAGCAGGTAAAAAGAAAGAATATGTAAAAACTGAAAATGTATATTTATTCCTAAAAATAAAGTATATATCTATTCCTAAAATAAAGTATATAAATAAAGTATATTATCCCTAAAAATAAAGTATATATATATATAATAAAGTATATAGTATATAGTATATATTTTTAAGTATTAAATTTTAAATTATTTTGAATAAATATTAAATTTGAAATCATTTGTTTTTGATGTGATATATATTAGTTTAAATTTGAATCCCTCTCTCTCTCTCTCTCTCTTTCTCTCTTAAATAAACATACACACACAAAAAAAAGCATTAAATAAAGAGAGATTTGTATTATATCAATAAAAATTAATTATCGAAAAACGATATAATCACAATTAATTATGAATATATCGTTTTTCGGTAATTAATTATTTCTGATAATTAATTATTGTTTTTCAATTTTGCTATTTATTAAGAGGGTGATAATAAAATGCGAGAAAAATGAAAGAAATTCATTTAAAATGTCTTAACAAATTAGTATAGTAATATTTGTTTATAAATTATAAAAACAATTAATGAATTGCAGATAATTAAAAATGTATTCTTGAATACAAAGATAAGTAAAAGAAAGAGAGAGAGAGAGAGAGAGAGAAAGGAAGAGGAGAGGGAGAGAGAAAAACGATAAGATTGTTTCGTAGGAATTTCCCACTTTATTTTCAGCTATCAATGAATGCTTTAAAAAGCACAAAATATTAATAACTACTACCAACCGATATTTATTTTCAAACAAAAAAAAATTTAGCAACCTCATTCGAGTATCAAAATTAATTAATTAATTCATTTAATACCAAAACAAAAAACAAAAAATCGATCCGAATTCTTTCAATTATTTCCAAAGCTATAAAATTTTCAACAATTGAAAAAATTTTAATTTAAATAGAAAATATTTCAAAAAAAATTTCTAAACCAATAATTGAAATTAATTAATTAATTAATTAAATATGATATTAAAATGAGGCTGATAAAATTTTTTTTAAGTAATTGAAATTTTACTATTTCAACAATTGTGAATTTATGCTATAATTTTATGCAAAAAATTATTATTCAAATGCATTTAATGTTTTCATCGTAGTAACGTGAATTTTATTTTTTATGCAAATTAACCATTCAATAATTTCATTTACTATTACTCCGAAATAATTTGTAAACTTGCAAAAATTTAATTATCTATTATGTTTACGAATATTATGAGAAAACACAAAAAGTATCTAATATTTAAAGAAGTAAAAAATAATATTAGGAATAACTAATATTCATTAAATATTTATTATTAAGTTTCGAATATTCATTAAATATTTATTATTAAATTTCAAATATTCATTAAATATTTATTATTAAATTAATTACTCAATTACTCATTAAATATTTAATATTTAATTTCAAATATTCATTAAATATTTATTATTAAATATCAAATATCCATCAAACACTTATTATTAAATTAATTACTCAATTACTCATTAAATATTTAATATTTAAATTCAAATATTCATTAAATATTTATTATTAAATTTCAAATATTCTTTTAAATAAGTTCATATCTTCCAACTAATCCATTTATTTATATATTTTAAAAACAATTAATTTGAAATTAAACAAATATATGTAAGGATAATATTATCATTAAATATATGAAACTATCGAAAATATTTCCTATTGAATTTTAATTAATACAGTAATCAAATAAATTTGATATCTACTTAATTATTACATCAAAAGAAATTTTTTAAACAATTGAAATAAATGAAATGTTAAAAATGATGAAATATATATGAAATGAAAGAATAAATGAAAAGGAAAAATATATATGATAATTATTAAAATTTGGAAGAATTCTTTAACACGTACTTATTGATAGCAAAATACTAAATCTATTTACTCAATAATATAAAAATACTTATATATTCTATTTCAGTATTCTATAAATGTACTAAATCTATTTACTCAATAATATAAAAATACTCATACATTCTATTCCAGTATTCTATCTTCCATTCTCTCAAAAATATATCAGAAAAAGAAAATCTGGAAAAAGAAAATCAAACTTCATTGAACAAAATTTAAAATATAGTAATATTAAAGTGTTAATTCCTACTGGAAAATAATTCTTAATTGAAAAATAACTTATTCTTGAAGGTTAAATTTCCGAAACTATTTACGATGAAGTTAATTATAATTAATAAGAATGAAATGAACAATCATCGGAAGACTTCTGTAAGTTAAGGAAAACGTGAAAAAATTGCATAACATCGAAAAAAATTCTGCATTCATAATTTTTGCCAGTTCTACAAATTTGTTTTTATTGGAATGATCGAATAAACGAAATATTCCTATTTTAATCGATCCAAATTATCAATCAATAATTTCATGCCATTAGTTTTGTGTTCACTTTTGTCATTTTTGTCAGAAATAAGCAGCACATTTACTTTAAAATGAGAATTTTTTCTGAAATATTTTGACACAAAAAGTTGTGAATTTGGAAGAAAATTTGTATTTTAGGATGA